GTAACTTTCTTAATTCTTAACGTAAATTCTTAACGTAACTTTTTTTTACGAAATAACGTAACTTTCTCGTGAAGAATCTATAATGTTTTCATTGCATAAATTAAGAAGTGCTGTAGTAGGTCTTCGGGCGTGAGAAAAAATAAGGGTAGTAAACGCACCCCAGCTGGAGGGTGTAGGCCTCCAGGTGGAGGGTGTAGGCCTCCAGGTGGAGGGTGTAGGCCTCCAGGTGGAGGGTGTAGGCCTCCAGGTGGAGGGTGTAGGCCTCCAGGTGGAGGGTGTAGGCCTCCAGGTGGAGGGTGTAGGCCTCCAGGTGTACCGTATAGCAGCATAGCCCGGGGGGGGGGGCGGTAGCATAGTCTTCCCTCCAGCAGGCGGCGGCAGTGTTGACACGGACGGAGCCTGGCTTGTAGCCTTGCAACACTGCTGTGGTTGAAGGGCTCCTGACCACTCCGTGACGTAAAGCCTTCCACTTATCCCCCTTCCAGTCCAACATCAACCTCTCTCCCTCTCCCTCCCACTTCTCCCTCTCCAACCCCTAACGCCATTTTTCCTTCCTACATTTCTCCCCAAATTCCATCCTCGCTTATTCTTTTGTCCGCCCAATTAGATGACGGAGTCAGTCAACCTGACTAAAGTGTCAGGCAATGAGGCGAAACTATTTGGATTTCAAAATATACAGAAATCATGGCGTTGAGAACCAGGCGAACACGCTACACAGTTGACGGTTCACGACCCGAGCACACACTTCGCACCCCGGGCCAGCACAGTAGCACAGTCCTGGCAACACCTTCGGGAGTCAGGAGGAGATGGCAGGAAGGAAGGTCACCCACATTCATAATTTGTACACCATTGATCAGAAGTGAGGGGAGCAGGAGCTGGTCCCCTCAGCACCCCGTCACGGCCACTACCGCCATCACTCACACTACCAGTCACTCCCTGATACTTGCCTCACACGCCGCCTCTCCCTACAAGCCTTAGGGATACATTCATCACTTTACCATTCCGTTCATGACTTGATTTTACTCGAATTTAGCTTTGGGGAATATTGAGCTACGCAGATTATGAACTACCACGGTACATCAGCTGATTTTGTTAATTAAGGAGTACCTGACCAAATAAGGTGTAAGAGGCAAGATGTGAGCAGGTAAGACGTTTACAACATTTGAGCAGTAAGACGTAAGATACTGAAAGATTACTTTGTGAATAATAAAGAACACTACGATAAACTAATGCCACATGAAGCTTGTGATGTGCCCTCCCTACAGACTTGTCCTCATGCACACTCGTCCACCAGAGGCAGTAATGGCGTCGATAACTCTCAAACACACACGCGGCACTCCTCCCCAGATATAACCTCAATATGGTAAGAATCACTGAGAAAATACAAATATCAGAACACACATTGAAAGTAAGATAACATGGTATTTTGTTGTCCAGGGTGATGTGTCCAGGGTGGGACACACCACCAAGGGCAGCGTGTCAAGGGCAGCGTGTCAAGGGCAGCGTGTCAAGATCATAATGTCAGCAAGTAGCGTGCCATGGATGATGGCGTGTGGCGTGAACAGCTCCAGCGACGACACAACTTGCAACAAGTGAGTAGTTAGGGTTCGCAGCGGGTCTGCACCACCCTAATTAGGTGCGTGTTGCAGTGGTGCAGGAGTCACGGGGCCTGGACAACACTGAGGCAGGGGTCACGGGACCTGGACAACACTGAGGCAGGGAGTCACGGGACCTGGACAACACTGAGGCAGGGGTCACGGGACCTGGACAACACTGAGGCAGGGGGTCACGGGACCTGGACAACACTGAGGCAGGGAGTCACGGGACCTGGACAACACTGAGGCAGGGAGTCACGGGACCTGGACAACACTGAGTCAGAGCACTGGCTAAATATCTCCAATCGACCAACAAATTGGGTCACATCTGACCCGCGCCACATTTATACCTGGCGCCACCAACAGCTAAACACAGAAAACAACTACCTCGTCGCAACACCAAGGATCAGCTGACGCCATAAACACAACACACCGCCCTACGGTGCGGCAAGTCTCCCTCTAACACACACCTCTGTTTTAATCACCGTTCCTCTATCTACAGCACAAAGCAACAAGCACCTTGGTAGCTCCGATCGTCTTCAACATAAAAGCGTCCAACAACATCAGTACTGGTGCAGTCATCGGGAGGACAAACCCTTCATGCAAACTGCACCTACTATCAACAAGAAGAAGAGGCAGGGGTCACGGGACCTGGACAACTCTGAGGCAGGGGTCACGGGACCTGGACAATTCCTTATACACGATACCATCAACTGGGGCGCCTTACCTGGTGAAGGTTGCCTGCACAATCACACAGCCCATCCTCTCAATAGGTAGCGTTGTTACCGTTATAGTGACCAACGTTACAAATACAACCTATGAAAAGTAACGGCTCACAAATATCTAATTAGTTTTTACACATAGGGCTCGGTAGGTTGGGTGGGTAGGTAGGGTTCCTGGCGAGCCCCAAGCCTCGCCCTTACCGGTCACCCACGAGCCCCAAGCCTCGCACCTTGCCGGTCACATCACGCAACTAACCAATCGATTCTTGCTCGTGAAATATGCACACGGATCTACCGTAGAGGTAAAACAGTGCAATTCTGCAGCTTGACGAGAAATTAGTTCCTCAAGCGGGTAATGGTCGCTGGTCAGTCCGTGACGCTGTGGACAATGTAACACGAATGACTGCATAACAAACTGAATAAAGGTAGCCTCCATTACACCGATATAGTGTATAAGGAGAGGTAAACGCATATTATCAACAGCTATACTTCTGGTTAATTAAGGGTCAAGCAACTAGCTGGAGTTGGGTAGTACTGGAGTGTGAAGCAGCGAGACGGCTGGACCAAACACACACTGCCACTCCACCACAGGTCAAGGGCACTCTGAGTCCTTCATCAGGTCATAGTGAACACTCAATCATGATACAACACAACATTACATTAGAGACAACGTCACTAAATGTATCCCCCAGCACTCGCCCACAATATACGTGTATACCTGTGGGTGTATACCTACGTACTGGACATCCAGGACGTACTGGACATACCTGGAGTATACCTAGGAGGTTCTACCTCCCAAGGCCGGGCTGGGTCTTTGTTACGTTTATTATTAGTATTTATTCACTTGTGTTTCTTGAACTCATCATGGTTGAGTTGGTAGTGTGTGGTCCAGGGAACCCCCGGGAACCCCCTGCTCCAGGGGAGCCGGTCGGCCGAGCAGACAGCATGCTGGACTTGTGATCCTGTGGTCCTGGGTTCGATCCCAGGCGCCGGCGAGAAACAATGGGCAGAGTTTCTTTCACCTTATGCCCCTGTTACCTAGCAGTAAAATAGGTACATATTTTGTCAACTGCCACGGGCTGCTTCCTGGGGGTGGAGGCCTGGTCGAGGACCGGGCCGCGGGGACACTAAAAAAAAGCCCCGAAATCATCTCAAGATAACCTCAAGATAACCCCAGGGACGTCAGCAAGGTCTCATCACCTGGCCTCAATATCTCCTCATAGTTTCTATTTTATTTGTTGTGGCTTAAGGCCTGCCACCGCGGGAGGGTTATTAAGGCCACCACAATAACTTACTGACCAGCCACCTGCTGGACCTACGTCCTCAACACTCTCCAAGACTAAAGTAAACTCACTGTATACCTCAAGCACTGAGAAGCTGAGTAAATTCTATGTAAACCTCTTGGTGTATTCTATATATCCACTTGCATCTTATTTATTTTTCGTTTCTGTGGGATATACTGATGTAATAATGACTTGAAATATAGCATACGAATGCTAAATCAAAACAGATTCTTTTCGATTTTGGACTTTGAATCTTAATGGCAGCTATTTTCTTTAATGGTTCAGAGATAGTTGTTTACAATGGTAGACGCGAGTACCCATGGTCTTATTATATGGGTGTAGCCCCGGACACTCCCCCCTCACACCATCCTCATAGTCTATACCCGGACACCATCCTCATCTCCCACCTCACACACCTCCCATATGCCGCGCCTCCTGGTCTCGTCAGGAATTAGTTCAGCGTCCAGTCTTGGAACCAGTTCCTCAATTAATTTCTACTAACACTCAACAGCTCCCAAATGGACGCTGACTACTGTATTACCATTTTCCATTCAGATCAGAGGAATATTAACTCCCTACACATGATTAGCAATACAAAACATATAAAATGAGAACTAACAACATCAAGGGCCCAAGAGTTTTCGATACTCCAGCAACACTTAAGGCGCATAACTGCCGGCCTCTCACGGTGATCAGGAGAGAACTTGATAAACACCTCTAAAGGACACCTGATCAACCAGGCTGTGATCATTCGCCAGGCTGGGAGCAGATGCGTCCAACAACCTGGTTGACTAGACTACCAAACAGGAGACCTGGCCAGAGAGAGGGCCGCGGGGACGTTGTCTCCCGGAAGCAACAGCAGGTATATCACAACTCCACCTAGGCTAATCAAAATCAATCCACCCCAGCCTTACTTAACCTGGTCTAATGTATACAACATAACTTCCATCCTCTACCCACCTTGTGGTGAGTGTCACCCACACAACACTGGACATCTCCCTCTCCACTCCACTTTAAGATTGGTTCCATCACATGGAACACCTCTACACCAGGTGACAGAGTCAAGAGGCGGGACACAAGAGCTATAGCCCATCCTTCGCAAATACAACTGAGTGCGTACAACCAGATATGTACTAAAGGCAATATCACGTGATATTGCCACATTTAATGACTATCACACATACAATCACATACGTGGGATTCGAACAAGCAAATTACAAGAACAATCACACAACTTACCTGTCACGTTAGAAACCTCGAGTAAATGTATATAATAAAATAAATTCAATATTTAATTAACAGCTCACGAGACCCTCAATGTTCACAGACAATCACAAGTTATTCAAAGTTTATAAGAATTGTGGTGAAATAAATCTATATAAAGTAGAATTCGTACTCACTTTGATTTGCGTCTGTTGAGAGAGTTTGTGTGGAGGTGTGGCGGGGTGGCGGCCAGGCTGCTCCCGCCACCACCCTCCCCGGCCGGGCTCCACGACCCCGACAGTGAGGACATGGAGAAGCTCAGCGGACCCACGCCGCCGCCCACACAACAATTGCCTGTGTGTACCACAACACGTTAATGACATATCCTCATCCTCCTAACATTACCACAAGTTACCCCAGCTCATAGCTCCGAACCCTCATCACCCCTCCTGTGGATTTTCTCATTACCACAATTTCTTGTTGAGTATATTAATGGTTATCTTTAAAAAAATATCAAGGAAATAAATCTTAAATCTTCTTTCCCAATGTGTTATCTTGAGGTTATCTTGAGATGATTTCGGGGCTTTAGTGTCCCCGCGGCCCGGTCCTCGACCAGGCCTCCACCCCCAGGAAGCATCCCGTGACAGCTGACTAACACCCAGGTACCTATTTTACTGCTAGGTAACAGGGGCATAGGGTGAAAAACTCTGCCCATTGTTTCTCGCCGGCGCCTGGGATCGAACCCAGGACCACAGGATCACAAGTACAGCGTGCTGTCCGCTCGGCCGACCGGCTCCCGTTGTATTTCCCAATGTATAATTATGAAATATATTTCAGCTAGCAACCAGAGATAAATCTAATTTCAGCCTGCACTGCTAGGTGGTGAGAAACAAGGGTCTAAGGACCAACATATGCATGAATTATATGTGCAGTGTTATCTTAGCTTGCGAGGACTGGAGTATTACATCACAAGAGGCAAAGGGTGAGAGGAAGGAGGCAAAGGCAATAAATAGGCAAGAGAGAGAGAGGTGAGAAGGAAATCCTAGAGGAAGAAAAAGCAAGGCAACAGGAACGGAAGGTAAGGTGTAAACAAGTGGGAAATAAAAGGAAAAAAGAATGGGATCGTAAGAGAAAACAAGAGAAAGAAAAAGAAAGAAGGATAAAAGGAAGGGTAAGCTTATGTTAGGTCACGTTTGTTAGAAAGTTTAGAACATTTGAGTATATACTGTGAAAGGGAAGAGTCCACAGCAACAAATCCAGGACTCAAGTTCATGTTGGGTACATTGTGTATTAGAGCCGATTCAACAAGACGGCGTCTGTGTAGAGTAGAGGAAGGAAGATTATTTTGGAGAAAGCCCAATCAATAGGATGATTAGAATCCCTCACATGACAGAAGAGAGCATTGTTAGTGTCTGCAGACTTGACACTTCTTTAGTGTTCCTTAAGTCTGTCAAAGTGTACGGCCAGTTTCGCCAAAATATTGAGAGGACAAGAACAGGAAGTGGAGTAGACACCAGCAGCAGGAGCAGTGTGAACTAAATTGCTACCAAGAGAGTTAGTTTGTCGAAAGGCGAGCTTTATGTCAAGAGGCAACCCGTTCTCGCAAATTCGTAAAGTCAATATTGACTTATTAACTACGTGCATAGGTGATATACTAAACATAATAGATACCCCTAAAGAGATTCATAGAAAACACCGACCTTGCCTAACCTTGTTAGTATCTTAAGATAAGCATCTTATTGCTTCGTAATTACAATTATTACCTAACCTATACCTATTATAGGTTAGGTAATAATTGTAATTACGAAGCAATAAGATGCTTATCTTAAGATACTAACAAGGTTAGGTAAGGTCGGTGTTTTCTATGAATAATTTTAAGGGTATTTATTATGTTAAGTATGTCACCTATGCACATATTTAATAAGTCAATATTGACTTATTAAATTTGCGAGAACGGGTTGCAAGAGGACGAAAGGTATTAGTAAAAGTTTACAGTTCAGATATGAATGGAAGGTAGAGCACAGTGCTACTAGTGTTGGAAGCAGGTTTAGGGTGAAGGAAATTACGTTTAGCTTGAGAATAGGCACAGTTGATAAAATGTAATGGGTAACCAAGGCGAGAGAATGATTAGGGAAATATAAGGGAAGGGGAAGGGGCTATGGTGTGCATATACCATTACACTGTGCAGATACAGTAACAATAGTAGCAGCAACAGATGTGGAAATTGCAGCAACGAAAAGTAATAGTAGTAACAAGAGTATAATTAGTGCTAACAAGAAATAAGAGAAGAAACATCAATAGGAGAAACAAGATTAACACGAGAAACAATACTAACAATATCAATAGCCGTTAGATAACAAGTAACAAGAATAATACTGTCACACACTGAAAGGTAACAACAGTATTAACAACAATAACTAGTGGTAACATGAGTATAACGGAACCTGTTGAAGGTATATTAGCACATGTGAGACGGCTCCTCTTTATATCCACACAAACGGCTTCAGATGTGTCTTAACACACACTTACAACAGTCTATTATGTTACCCGGTAGTCACCATTGCTGTAACAGTAGAAGTAATGATAACAGTAACGGTAGTCACTTAAATTAAGTAATTAGATTTGTATAAATTTATACGAATATAGTGACTATATTTTGCGTTAAGCTTTCATAATTAATCTGCTACTTATATAATATTAATCTGCTACTTTTAGCAATATTAATCTGACCTTCACGAATTGTTACTGGAGCGTTTAACTTCCACGTTCCCCAACTATAACTTGCAAGGAGGCAGACAGAAAATTTCTCACCTTTTCCGTTGTCCATTGTAGTGATGCTTGCGTCGTCAACTGGTTTGTTTGAGAGAGGTGTTGTGGGAGTACTATATGGAGAGTGCCATGGTGCCGCTGGGTCTGGCCCGCGGCAGGCTTTGGCACTGGGTAGAGGGTTGGGACTTGGGGGCTCTAAATTGATCTTTGGAAAGGAAGGCGAGAGAGACTTCAAGTCCGAGCCGATAATCTGATTTGCAGGTAGAGAAGTGTGTTGAAGAGAATGGTTAGATCCAAGTAAAGACTTCACAGAATATAATCTAGTCTCAGGTACTAGTTTAAGGAAGTCTCTTTTGGCACGCTGATTTGCTGTGGGATTTGTTTTGGGATCCCCTTCAAATTTCTCAGCAGAAATACAATTTTCTCTATCCGATGTCGTTAACGGGAAACTATTGCTCTCTGAGTCGCTCTGTCGAAGAAAACGGTTGTCGCCATTTTCCACAGTTCGAAAACGTGCGTTGTCATAATAATGGGGATACTCTGCTAAAGGTGACGCCGACGTTGACTCGCCATGAAGGGTGTTCCTCGAGGATGTTCTACTTTCAGCCCTTGAGCTCTGAGATTCGTCTTCATCAGGCTCGAGAACAAGCACAAATTCGTGATCTCTTATAAGATCAGATGAGATAGAGTTCTCGTCACTGAAGCAATCGCTGGTGACACTGTTACAGCGCGTCTCCGGAGGTGGAGATCTGAAATGGACAAATACCTTAAGTCATTACAAATATACTATACGACACATTGATGCAAAATAAGAATCCTTACTTTCTTGTAAGAATCTTAATATTATATATATATATATATATATATATATATATATATATATATATATATATATATATATATATATATATATATATATATATATATATATATATATATATATATATATATATATATATATATATATATATATATATATATATATATATATATATATATATATATATATATATATATATATATATATATATATATATATATATATATATATTATATATATATATTATATATATATATATATATATATATATATATATATATATATATATATATATATATATATATATATATATATATATATATATATATATATATATATATATATATATATATATATATATATATATATATTATATATATATATTATATATATATATATATATATATATATATATATATATATATATATATATATATATATATATATATATATATATATATATATATATATATATATATATATATATGATTTTTTAAATATATTATATATATATATATATAATTGCACAAATTATTCACGAATGCACGAATCCAATAATAATTGAATGAATGCCAAGATCCTAAGCATATAACAATAGTATAACTGACGAATCTGAAACAGGTGGAATGACAGATTGATGAAGATTAAGTAAGCCAAGAGGTGCACGGGCATGAGCAGCCCGTAATGGAATATAATGGAGTGCGCTTGATGACGCAGGAGTTGCATATACTTAGAGAGGAGGGCGGCCGTGTCCACATCCGGCGGTGGAGTCGCCATTGTGTCGCTGGCAACATTGGGGTCGGGAGCCTCACCTTCAGGTACTCCCTCAGTGAAAGTGTTCTCCTGACCTTTATTATAAAATGGTTCACAGATATGCTTCAATTAACGTTATGAAGCTTCCATGTAACCAACCAGTAACTAACTTGGGTGTATTTTATAGTAGTAATGTCTAAGTTTCTTTCCATAAGAACAAATGTCATAGTTACAATTAATGCCATTTAGCAGTTACAATTAGGTAGCAAACTACATACTTTATTACTTTGTATGTCAGGTAAATATAATATTTTGGGGGATTTACAACTATCATTTACGACAATGTTTGGGTTAGTGTTGGACTTTAGTCCTATCAACCGCCACAGCGTTAATAATAATACTACTACTGTACTACTACTACTAATAATAATTTTTATTCAAGAGAATGTGTGAACTAAGAACATAAGAGTAATGTACAATAGTAGGGACAGGAGTTACACATGCTAATGAAGCCACTAGGGAGCCGCTGGCTGAGCGGACAGAACACTGGGCGCGTGATCCTGTGATCCCGGGTTCGATCCCGGCCGCCGGCGAAAAACAAATAATATCCTCGACCAGGCCTCTTCCCCCAGGTGGAGGCCTGGTCGAGGACCGGGCCGCGGGGACACTAAGCCCCGAAATCATCTCAAGATAACCTCAAGATAACCACTATTACGCACAGCGTTTCGGGCAAGGTCTCGACCACGGCCACATTACGGCTGTACGTGACACCAGCTTACTGATCGACCAGCAAGTATACATAAATGGACATAAATGAGTGAGTATATCTGGAGAGCTTTGAGACTTTCCCAAGAATTTAGATATCGCGTCTATGCGTGCCGTATATGTTCTCTGTACTCCCTCTATTTCAGCAAACTCTTCTGCTCTGAAGGAAGAAGTGAGTACTGAGCGGTACTCAAGACGGGACAACACAAATGATTTGAATAGTACAACCATTGTGATGGGATCTCTGGATTTGAAAGTTCTCGTAATCCATCCTATCATTTTTCTGACTGACGCAATATTTGCTTGATTATGCACCCTAAACGTTAGTTCGTCAGACATCATTATTCCCAAATCCTTTACATGCTACAATGTAAATTCTGTTTATATTACTTTGCACATGCTGCACTTGGCTTGCATCAGGCACTTGAATGATGAGTCACTTCCCTACCTCAGGCAATAGTGAGTGTTCCGCTATTCATCCATTAACTCGGTTCATCAATCTTAAAAAACAATCACTTCCTGTTATATTTTTCAGAACAATTTTCTCTTGGTTCGTTTAACAAACACATTAATGAGGAGGCATAATTACTGCCCTACCATCCCACACTAGGACCTGTTACTACTGTCCTACCATCCCACACCAGCACCTGTTACTACTGCCCTACCGTCCCACACGAGGACCTGTTACTACTGTCCTACCATCCCAGACCAGCACCTGTTACTACTGCCCTACCATCCCACACCAGGACCTGATACTACTGCCCTACCATCCCACACCAGGACCTGATACTACTGCCCTACCATCCCACACCATCACCTGTTACTACTGCCCTACCATCCCACATCAGCACCTGTTACTACTGTCCTACCATCCCACACCATCACCTGTTACTACTGCCCTACCATCCCACACCAGCACCTGTTACTACTGCCCTACCATCCCACATCAGCACCTGTTACTACTGTCCTACCATCCCACACCATCACCTGTTACTACTGCCCTACCATCCCACACCAGCACCTGTTACTACTGCCCTACCGTCCCACACCATCACCTGTTACTACTGCCCTACCATCCCACACCATCACCTGTTACTACTGCCCTACCATCCCACACCATCACCTGTTACTACTGTCCTACCATCCCACACCATCACCTGTTACTACTGCCCTACCATCCTACACCATCACCTGTTACTACTGCCCTACCATCCCACATCAGCACCTGTTACTACTGCCCTACCATCCCACACCAGCACCTGTTACTACTGCCCTACCATCCTACACCATCACCTGTTACTACTGCCCTACCATCCCACATCAGCACCTGTTACTATTGTCCTACCATCCCACACCATCACCTGTTACTACTGCCCTACCATCCCACACCTGGACCTTCTGCCGTATATGAAGTTAGAGATGAAGGGGTGGACGGGAGACACGACACACGGAACAAAGAGTTATTGTGCCCGGCGCCACCTGCTTGACGGGGTTCCGGGAGTTCTTCTACTCCCCAAGCCCGGCCCGAGGCCAAGCTTCCCGCCACCACCCGCGGGAAACACTCCAATGTAAAGAGTTTAATTCCTCCGTTATGCGAGCGCAGTCTGCATCCCACTTCCGTGTCCGGGATGAAATTAACTGGATATGGATCTCTAACCAGCGTGTACGTGAGTGTTTCACCGCTGAGAGCCTGTAATGAATAGGTGAGAGTGACGACCCCGGGACCTGGCCGAGGACCGTCCCCGGAGCGTGGCCAGGATGCCCAGACCGCCAGGGTAATGGACGCATCGCAGGGAAATACGCAAAATAACGCTTTTCATCGTGAGTCACAGAGCCCGAGAAGATAACTGTGCCTGCGGTTGAGATACTCCGGGAACGTGAATGGTAATTGGCCATTTAATTAACATGAATGTTAAACAACATGGGATGTTTGTGTTGTGTCCGAAAGTGTGTAATCGAAGCATCAATACCTCACTCATATTATATATTATATATATATATATATATATATATATATATATATATATATATATATATATATATATATATATAATTGTGCGTGTGTGTGTACACAGTATATATAAAATCACTAGGTTAGGTCAAGTTAGTGTGCAAGGCTTCTCGTGTATAGGTTCAGCTATACACAACAACACTCGGTGACCAATAGTAACATCAATGGTTGTAACTAGCGTCCACAGACTGTGTTAACAAACTGTGAACAAAACAAGTGAGTAAGTAACCTTGAAGTATACGCTGGGAGTGGTAGCTGGCCGACCTGTCACACCAGTTTGGCCCACCCCCTCTCTACCACCACCCAACCCTCCACACCATCTCCACTACTCACACCAGTACATGTACCGCTGTATGAGCACTACTTCCCTCCCTATACAACTCCCACGACACACTGCAGGAACCTGTACATCAGTGGATTGACAGTTGAGAGGCGGGACCAAAGAGCCAGAGCTCAACCCCCGCAAGCACAACTATGTGAGTACTACACCCACATGAGCATCCGAAATAACCCTCCCCCCCCTCCCGCTAACACATCACCACACCTTCAAACCGAACCATTCCGTCCGTAGCCTAGTTCAAACTGGTGAAAGTGTAATGGAAGAAATGTACATGTATTTCTCAGAATGTTCGGTAATATGTTTAACGTTTGTGATGTGTGGCTATATATGTATGAACACGTTGTACTGATCGGGGTGAGAATAGCTTGAGATACCTTATCAATTTGTGTGTATTTTACCTCAATAAACGTATTTCAAATTCAATTTCAACTGGTGAAACAACTTAGTACAATCGCCTTAACTACAATAAGCTGCATTAGCTGGACTACCTGCTGTGTGTGGATAGAAGTAATACAATGCTGGGATTAACTTGTGCGAGGCTACGAGTCACGGCACTCAAGTTCACATTATTCATAAATCCGTGGAGAAGACTCCAGTTGTGTTGTTCATCAAAATATAAAACATCAGCTGTGAATTCTCGCCTGACTGAGAAAAGTCAACATGTGTAACACACTAAAAATATAAAAACCCTGTTAGGCTATCCATTAAGTTGTCTTAATAACCAACATTTATCATTAAACTAAAATCAATTACCTGGCTAAGTAAAAGACCTGATAGTAATATTCTATGAAGACTGCGTTTAAAGAGCACTATAAAATCACTTCCACAACTACATTAACAATTATAGGTTGTAAAAAGCGAACTTTCTAAACTAGATCTCAAGTGAGTGATTAATGTGTCAATAGAAACCCTTCATGTAGCATTGTACTTACTGCCAACACTTGGCAATTTCTTTGATTATATTTATCTTTGAAAAACTTATATTACTAAATGTTTAATGTGGGCATTATCCGTTTCATTAGCCTACATTTAAGCCATAATTAGGTCACATCTTTCACTGCACTGAGAAGTAATAATATATTTCATCGGAACGTAAAAAGGTAATTAGTTCAAAACGTGTCCATCACCGCCTTTGAGGCAGAAGAATGATTGTAACCATGTACCTCAGCCTACAGTTTAGACCTATTGTCTTGTGTATGACCCTCTGTCCTGTGAGTACCCCCATTATCTGGTGAATGCCGCCAGTGAATACCACTATTATCCTCACTCTAATAAGACTTAATTGAATTACTCAGATTAGGCAAATTTGTAAATAATTTGTCAATAAAGATGTTAATAATAAAGACAAAAGTGACGTGACTGCTTCAGTGTTGTCGTCAGGAGCGGCCGGCCAACAACGTTGCCACGCCCGCACCAGTGTTTAGGCTCAAAGGCCAGCCAAGTGCACATTATGTGTCCTCATCTGTCGCCTCATCACTCCACGACCCCACACCCTCGCATAATGTTAACAGTACTGTTTCTCGGTACTGTTGCAAGGTGATAGGCAGCAGGGAGAGAAGGGAAAGTATGGAACGCAGCGGAAAGGATGGCAACGGATAGAGATTGGAGTTGATCGGATAATAACGGAGAGTAACAGTAGAAAGGAAGGGAACACAATGGAATGGGAAGGTAGAGAATGAGAGAGAAGTTTAAGAAAGAGCACCAAAAGACACGCACCAAAAGAGCACCAAAAGATGTTCATGTTGAGAACGAGCACCACAAGAGACCATGACCATGTTGAGAACGAGCACCACAAGAGACCATGACCATGTTGAGAACGAGCACCACAAGAGACCATGACCATATTGAGAACGAGCACCACAAGAGACCATGACCATGTTGAGAACGAGCACCACAAGAGACCATGACCATGTTGAGAACGAGCACCACAAGAGACCATGACCATATTGAGAACGAGCACCACAAGAGACCATGACCATGTTGAGAACGAGCACCACAAGAGACCATGACCATGTTGAGAACGAGCACCACAAGAGATCATGACCATGTTGAGAACGAGCACCACAAGAGATCATGACCATATTGAGAACGAGCACCACAAGAGACCATGACCATGTTGAGAACGAGCACCACAAGAGACCATGACCATGTTGAGAACGAGCACCACAAGAGACCGAGACCATGACCATGTTGAGAACGAGCACCACAAGAGACCGAGACCATGACCATGTTGAGAACGAGCACCACAAGAGACCATGACCATGTTGAGAACGAGCACCACAAGAGACCATGACCATGTTGAGAACGAGCACTAGAAGAAGCCATTTGTATGTTGAAAACGAGCACAGCAAGAAACCATATTAACGAGACAGGACTAGGGAGCGTGGGTCTAAATGATGGAAGGGAGGGAGGGGAGGGAGACCAGATGAGAGAGGGAAGGGAGGGAGGCCAGATGAGAGAGGGAGAGGAGGGAGGGAGGGAGGGAGGGAAGACAATACCTGATCACATAACTCCCCTCCCCCCCCCATTCCCCCAATGACAGTTGTATTATACATCGCCCAATTATCAACACACAAATCAGAGTCAGCGTCCCTCCTCACTACACGAAGTCTGGCTTACCAGTAATCTCCCTACAGGCCGCGGGAAATAATACCAGAATACAAATGGCTTAGCCTATAGAAAATTAGGGGAACCATTGAGGATTAAAATCAGGAGGAAGGGAGTAGGCGTTATTGTTGTAATTGTTGTGGTGTTAGGCGTAATTGTTGCAACTGTGGTTGTGTTTGTAGAGGCAATTGTCTTTGTGGTTATTTGGAGTTGTTGAGGTTGTAGTGCCGATTGAGGTTGTGATTGGTTTGAGATGTTGTTGTGGTGGTTGTAGTTGAGCTGGTTGGTGATGTTTGTAGCAGTTATTGCAGTGGTTGCTCTGTGTTTTTGGTGGTAGTGGTTGTGTTCTATGGTTGAGTTGGTTGTGTTCATAGTGGTTGTGGTAGAGGGAGGAGACACACGGGTCAGCTTAGTGTTCTAATGATGTTTTTAGGTCATCTTGATGTTCTGATGAGGAAGTAAACAAGTCATCTTAGTGTCCCGGTGAGGGAGAGGGGGGGGGACATAGGTGGGGACAGCCAGGTATCACCAGCTGTCTGTCTGAAGGCTGAACATAAATATGGGTCATTATAACTTGATAAGTAACACCCAGACATTTTCTTAGTACTCAGTACTTCAAAGAAGTACTCAGAAGTACTCAGTTTCTCAGTACTTCAGCCTGTTGGTTCCTAAGAGATTGAGTTGAGGCAGACATCAGTTTCTCGCGTTGCAGATATGAAGAATCAAGATACTGCAAATTTAAAACTATTACGGCAATTATGAAAATGTATATATTATGTGGCATAGATCTATGGTATACACATTAAATATGATTTGAATATCTGTAACCTTTCTTGAGATATATACAGAACTAACTCAGTTATATGCTAGTGCAAAACTGGTAAAGGTAGAGCTTACTAGCAAGAGACTAATAGGAGTATTTTCCTGGCTTACAGGAGTGATGGATTCACCTGACCTTACATGGTGAGAGCGTGAGTGAGGAGCCTTCCGCCGCCACGGTTCTCTCTCTCTCTTCCATCACACTGCTATGGGTCCTGCCCTCAGGAAGGTGTACACTGTGTAGCCCGCCTTCAGGTCTACCAATACCCACACTGAAGCCTCGTCTCTCTGGGTCTGTACATACTCTCCATCCGTTTTATGATTGTTATAACAATCTGTGCCTCTGACATAGATATATATATGTGATCTAGTTAGCGGTTTGTGAAACCAAAGCACACATTCACTATGTGCTTCTCATTTTGCCTATTCGTTAGCGAGTTGTGAGTGAGTGAGTGAGTGAGAGCCTCGTACACTTCTTGGATGATTGGTTGCATGAGTCAATGTGCCTCCATAACCTCCTCCTTGGCTGGTTAACTGTGTCAAGAGTGCCTCTACCTTTCCTTCTCCGTGGATGACTAGTTGTGTGAGTCAGTGTGAGTGCTTCTTCCCGCCTTACTATTTAGTTGACTGGTTGTGAGAAGCTCAGAAGGAATGTTTGTATGACTCTGGACAGGGGGGGAGGGATGAGTGCCCACAACCTGCACCCCCCCAATGTCTTGTGGAGTGTCCGCTGCCTTTTCTGACGGAGCTTTAAGCAGAGACAAAGTCAAGCTCCTGAAGTGCAGAGGGATTAAGGTGTTTCCGGAACACGGCGAGACATGGGCCTCCTTACGAAGGTGCCAACACCCCCCCCCCCCACCCTGGCACTCTCCTGAAGACCCACAAGCACGTCTCTCACCACATAATGTTCATTGCTCGCTGCTTGACGTTTTGACCTCTCCTGCTAAGCTATGTAATGCCCTACTTCTTCCCTACCGAGAAACAAACCAGTGCATATTTATGTTTTCATTGTTTGCAATATTTCATACAAGTTTTAAAGTTGCCCAAAACGTTTCGTGTTAGAAGCTTTGCAAGACCATACTAATTAATCACCAAAATATGTACTTCCGCAACCAATTGCATCTTCGTTTGTGTGTGTATGTGTGTGTATAATATTCATATACTACATGTATAATACAGAAGTGTTAATATTCATAATAGTATTGTATTATATTTAATAATATAATATACGTGTGCATCTAGCCTTCAAATTTGGACATTCATTCTTTTAGATTATATATTTACTCTGTGTGTGCGTGCGTGCATGTGTGCGTACGTGTACGTGCGTGCGTGCGGGCTGCTTCCTTATATTAACAAAACCCTGTCACAAGTGTGAACAAACAGCATGCCAGCCTACCTGTTGTTCGTCCTACAGGTGTCTACGCCTCTCTCGAGCTCTGGCGTTTCCTGTGCTTCTACAAGCTGTTCTAGCACAGGTGTGGGGCCGTCTTCAACCTGTACGGGATGTACAAGTTCTTGACGCAGCTCCGTCTGCGCCTTCTGATGCTGGAGTCGCTGTAGGGACTCTTGGAGATGAAGGCGAAGTTCAGGGGTGAGTCTGCGAACGTTCTCTCTCACGCTGGGTAGTTGTGGTACCTTAATAGAGGGTCCAATAGTCCTGTACCGTCGTGAGCGGTGCGGTACGGTACGTCGAGGGGTGAGAGGGGAGACGGGAAGTGGAGGTGACGGAGTTAATAGGATTAAAGGACAGGTGAGCGAAGACGGGCGAGTACGGGGTGTCTTGGAGGGGGAGCAGTGAGCAAGGACGAGGCTCACTGAAAGTGTCTTAGTGTGAGAGTGACAATGGTCGTGGAGGGGTTCGTTGAGGGGGGAGAGTAAGGGTATTACAGCTGATTGGTTATCATAATTGGGGTGAGGTTGGGGACAGGTCTGCCCTCTGTGTTGGGGAGACCTGGCACTCTCAGGGGTGGTGGTGGTGGGGGCGAGGCTGTGGTCGCTGTTGGAGGAACTGGCCCCGAGCCTCACTCCGACATCTTCAACATGCTGAAAAAGAAAAACCAACATGAACAAAGAGAACAGTTGCACAGGACACTATATTAACTATATGCTGACTTTCCTTGTAATCAACAAATTTTTCAGCACTTTAAAATAAATGCAAAACCAGTTTTAGTTGGCAAATATTTTGTCCCACATTCCGAGCTTACATATATTTATCTTTTAACAACTGCGGAAATCTATCTATACAAAATAAAATTAAAATTGTTATTGCTGGTGTCCGTGAATGTCTAAACATTTCCTTGTTTGACCTAAGTTGCTTGTGTCCAGCGAGGCGACAACAACCCCGAGGTAAACAAGGCCCTTAAATACGTCACAAATCAGTATGATCATCAACGAAGACAATTGTAAACTTCTTTAAATCAGGTAAAGTTCTGTTCTCTGTCTTACAATTTAAATTCGAATATATGAGTAAAAGGATACCTGGAGCATACCTGGAGAGGGTTCGGGGAGTTCTTATACTCCCCAAGCCCGGTCTGAGGCCAGGCTCGACTTGTGATAACTTGATCCAACAGGCTGTTGCTTGGAGCGGCCCTCAGGCCCACATATTTACTACAGCCCAGTTGTAAACATAATGATTACAAAAACCTGTTACTCAGATCACAACTTAAATGAAGTTCTGACAAGCATGGGGAATAGACCTGCAAAATCAGTCTCGAATTCCTGTGGAGGGGAATTCAGCAAATTCAATTTCAATAATAAACAGATAAACTGGGAGCAAATAAACCAAGACCTCACAGAAATAAGCTGGGAAGAACAGCTAGAAAATGCAGACCTGAACCAGTGCCTGGAAAAATGAGCTCAGTAGCACTAGAAATATGCTCAGGAACAACTTGAGAGTCGCACGCTATCTCAAGTACGACGAAGAAGGTTAGGTAGAGAAATAGAAACAATTGAACTCAAGCTACAAGAATCATACAAAACCCAGGAGAGGCAAAGAGAGCAAAAGGCCGTCAGTGAATGAGAGAAATCAGAGATATTTCTTCTATGCAAAATCAAGATAAAAAACCACATACATGCACTCTGCACCAGGCCCGAATTCTTGGAACTCTCTATTCATCAAGAACTGTAAAAACACTATCGCAGGCCCTCCACATTCTTTGGAAACAAAGCCTAGATACTGGCGCTATACCTAACATAGTAAAAACAGCAGAGATAGCAAAACTTCATAGAGGAGGAAATAAGTCAGAGGCAAAAAATTATAGACCGATAGCACTAACATCACACATCATAAAAAAATCTTTGAAAGAGTGCTAAGAAGTAAGATCACAAAATACATATAATCACAGCATCTATGGCAACCTGTCCTCTTACAAATTACCATGGTGTTATTATATACAAAATGCGTTCAAAAGGAATTACAGGTAAAATTGGCAGATGGATCTACAATTTCCTGACTAACAGAACCCAATGTGTAATAGTTAACAAAATAAAATCCGGACCATCAACCGTGAAGAGCTCAGTCCCCCAGGGTACTGTGCTTGCTCTAGTATTTTTCTCATCCTCATATCGGACATAGACAAGGACACAACTTGTAGTACTGTATCATCCTTTGCAGATGACACTAGGATTTTTATGAGAGTAGACAACATAGAGGACACGACAAACCTTCAATCAAACGTAAATCAGGTCTTTTTATGGGTTAAAGAAAATAAAATGGTATTTAACGAAGATAAGTTCCAGCTCATGCGCTACGAAACAAATTAAAATATAAAAACGGAAACCATGTACAAAACGCAATCAAATCATAACATAGAACGAAAGGCAACGTAAAGTACACCCAGATTTTTTTACTGGGTGTACTCATGTCGGAAGACCTTACCATTAAAGAACACAATAAAGTAGCCGTCACAACTCCAAGAAAAATTACAGGTTTTTGTTGTCCTACCTTTCACACTAAAGATGCTATACCGATGATGATACTTATCAAGACGTTAGTGCTCTAGAGTGGAGTACTGCTGCACAATGACAGCCCCTTTCAAAGCTGGAGATTGCTGACCTGGAGATCCTTTACTGCTAGAATCCACTCAGTAAAACATCTAAACTACTGGGACCGACTAAAGAGCCTAAATCTGTATTCTTTTGAGCGCAGGCGGGAGAGATACATAATAATTTACACGTGGAAAATAGTGGAGGAGCTGGTCCCCAACCAGCCCCTCTACCAATAAGCGTCCCCGTGGCCCGGTCGTCGACCAGGTCTCCTGGTTGCTGGACTGGTCAACCAGGCTGTTGACCCGGCTGCTCGCAGCCTGACGTCCAACAGCCACCACACCTTGAGGCGTGTTCACTTCTGATCTACTAATACTATGAGTTAAGTTTACCTGGCTGTTGTTGACAGGAAGGGCGTCGCGAGTCTCCATGAGAGACATCATTCAAGGGGTGGAGCAGGTGGTGCCAGAGCGTCCTGGTGGAGCCATCACCACGGTGCCACACCATACTAACACCCACATGGCTATTATCTCCATGCTATTACCTCTACACCACATGTGCGCCACGTCAACGCTGCCACACTTTCAGTGTCTCATTCTTGCTTTCTGAGAAAAGCATCACTTTAATCCAAAGATTTTCTTCCTTGTTTGCTTATCAAGTGCACTCAAGTAATGATATTCACTATACGTTTAAAAGCTTAACTTTATCATTAGATTTATACATCATTTTCAAAGATTTCGGCCGAGTTGTACGATATATATGTATAGTATACACCCGACGACATTCCTCTCAACATTATTTCTGCGGATATTATAAGAGAGAATATGTTACTGGCGTCTTAGTACAAGAGGTGAAGAGGGTTAGAATCACTTCATATCAGAATTAATAGATAGCACAAGTAAATAATATTTTTAGTTTGCAATTTCATTACAAACTAGGGAAACAATTTATAATACTATTTATATTTTAATTGTTCAAGAATTTACCCCCTTTACAAACAAATCTTTAAAGACTATAGCGCAGTGAATGACATAACTAGAGGCTTGCGATAAGCTGTTTTTGGTGTATTTCATCCCAACAGTTGCGACCATACTCTTCTGCACATTAACAATGTTTCTGACCACACACCACCACACCAGTACCTGACCACACCACCAGTACCTCTGACCACACCACCACACCACCAGTACCTCTGACCACACCACCACCACCACACCAGTACCTCTGACCACACCACCACCACCACACCAGTACCTCTGACCACACCAGTACCTCTGACCACACCACCACCACCACACCAGTACCTCTGACCACACCAGTACCTCTGACCACACCACCACCACCACACCAGTACCTCTGACCACACCACCACCACCACACCAGTACCTCTGACCACACCACCACCACCACACCAGTACCTCTGACCACACCACCACCACCACACCAGTACCTCTGACCACACCACCACCACACCAGTACCTCTGACCACACCACCACCACACCAGTACCTCTGACCACACCACCACCACACCAGTACCTCTGACCACACCACCACCACGCCAGTACCTCTGACCACACCACCACCACGCCAGTACCTCTGACCACACCACCACACCACCACCACCACCACTACACCAGTAACTTTGACCACACCACCACCACTACACCAGTAACTTTGACCACACCACCACCACCACACCAGTAACTGACCACACACCAGTACAAATGACCACTCCTAATACACCACCACCACCACCAAAACACAATTTTTTGTTTTGGTGGCTGTGGAAGGCAGAAGACGCCTCCTCCTCCTAATACCTACATAAAGAAAACACAAACTTCACACGACTAAATAAGGATATTTGGCTTAAAAAATCAGTGGAGGTTGTGTCTGGCATCAGTGGGCGTGAGGACACAACATCCTATCATCACCACACTCGGGCTAGCAATATTTCTCCTGCGCAAGGCTTCAATTTTCACTCATTGCAATAAACCAACATTTTCACACAAGATTATGCATATATAATTATCAGTTCAAGTCTCGTTCTTTACCAGCCATAATCTCTAGGTGAGCCTTCACACGACCGTCAACACGACACAAACGGCCCCACGACACCAGCGGCGGGCGGTCTTGTTAGGCTATCGCGAAGCACAAGACTTCATCCCGGGTAACATTGCCGCCACAATGTTATACCTTATACCGCTCTCCCTCCGCCAATGTTCACATTAGTGGTTGTGTCCGCGCGTCAGGCACTCGGGTAGGATACCAGGTGTGAGCACGTCAGAGGAGGATGTTCCCGCCTCAGGTGTGCACACAAGTGGCCACACACACACATGACATCTCCGGTCATTGAGGGCGGCGTGTGGCGCGCGACAGTGTGAGCTCCGGCCGTCACCTGGTACCGTGACACACTGGCTGGCTGGCTCAGGCTGCCTCCACCCCTCGCCTACACCTCCACACCTGCTCCTCCTCCTACTCTTGCTATGGGGCTTGACAGCTGAGTGGACAGCGCTGCGAATTCGTAGTCCTGAGGTTCCGGGTTCGATCCCCGGTGGAGACGGAAACAAATGGGCAGAATTTCTTTCACCTTGATGCCTCTGTTCATCTAGCAGAAAATAGATACCTGGAAATTAGACAGCTGCTATGGGCTGCTTCCTGGGGGTATGTAACAAAAAGGAGGCCTGGTCGAGGACCGGGCCGCGGAGACTAAGCCCCGAAATCATAAAGATAACCTCAAGATATACCTCCACACCTGCTCCTTCACCTTCACACCTGCTTCGCCAAGACCATATTTTATAAAGGCAGGCGCGTCCTCCTCTAAACTCATGCTGCACAAGACCGTAGATCACTGAAGGGGGAACACGTTAGACCTTTACCGAACAACGAGTAACTGATACAAAACATAACTACAAACGCATGTTACTCGGACCACAGTCCTACAGCCCAGTAACTCTGGGCTGTAGGTCTGTGGTGGAACCCAGATGACGACGCCTCCTAATACGTGCAACAGCCTGGTTGACCCGACCACCAACCAGGAGGCCTGGTCAGAGACAGGGCT